TGGGTTTGGGAACCCACTGGACCTACCGTGAGACTGACAATTGAGCTAAGACTCCATTAATAACCTGACTTCCATATGCCCACACTCTGACTGGTGGGCCACAGTGACATTTTGATTCTCCTGGAATTAGTGTCATTTCAGAGCCAGTACCTAGTAATCCTTGAAATGTCTAATTATTTCTTTCTCTCCAATGAATAGTCACTCCTGTACAAGGCCATAGATCCCTCTGGGGAAGGCCAGGAGAAAGATTAACAGTATAAGTTTTTGGCAGTGTACTGGAGTCCTTCCTCAAGGTGACCTAGCCTCCCCTTCAAATCAAGGAGTTGTGGGTCTGTAAACTCACTCAAGTCTAGGAATTGATTGAGGGGCCGTGACTCTCTATTCTGGTGATTTGAGTTAGACTGCTGTTCACTTGACCTAGAATTCATCCGTTTGTAGAGATGAAGTAAATATTTAGTAAATTTCCTATCTATTTCATTCCTAGGACACTATGACTAAGTAGCCAACTCCATAAGTCCATACGAATCAGACTATTCTGATTACTGCTTTGAGTCTTCTGTCCATTATGGTAACCATGCCCACCTTGTCTTTGTCGACTGAATGCCGCCACTTGGTCCCTACCACCATGGGCTCCAATCAGTCCCATTGTAGTTAGGTGTCTTAATTCAGTTAGGGCAGTTCCTACTGTCAAATCTGACTTACATAAAATAGCAATCACAGCAGTCTTCAAGGATGCTGGGGCTCCCTTCACAAATTTGTTCCTCACTGTTGTGGTAAAAGCTGTGCCCTTTGGGCACTCCATGTGTGGGTCTGTGGGTCTAACTTGATAAATCCACTCTAGAATGCCAATTTCCCTAAGCCTCTGGATACCTTCTTCTACAGTATACCAAGGCAGGTCTGGTACTTCAACTTGATTTAGTGTAGGTCACCATATAATCCATGCTTCAGCAACACAACCAATTAGATCCTATCCTAACTTCTCAAGCTGAAACACTGAAAGAAGAATCTGTGCTTAGTCAGCCAATATTGATAAACTTAGACTGATCCATCTTTATGTTCCTTGTACCATTATCCTACACCCTTAATAGCCATTCCCACACATATTCCTCAGGTTTCCGTTTGTACATATGAAAATTTAAGCAGTTCTTTTGGAGTGTGGCATACCTCCTCCTGGGTTACATTTTGTACTTCACTTTTTGGGGCTCACTGGGACTTAAGTCTAGTTATAGGTCTAGAAGCCAAAATTGGTGGGGAAATGTTTTGAGAACATTCAGCATTGTCTTGTAAAGCATCTGCCTCAGGCAATGTCCCAGGCAATGACTCAGACAAAGGTACTTTGGATACAGCTGGGTTAATCTCATTAGATGGGAGTGGAGGGGTTAATAGTTCTGTTGGCAGGAAGGATTCAATGGAATTTAGAGGCTCAATATCTCCAGCTTCCTGATTATCACCCATATGTCCCCATCTCAGGTTTCAGGATCTCATTTCTTCCCAATCAATGCCATTACTTTAACTACAGACACCTCTCAAGTTTCGCAGTTGAGCTGGCATTGTAATTCAGCCACTCTTAAAATAAGACTCTGGGTTTGGTTTTCAGCAATATTAACTATGTTACTACAAGAAATAAGGCTTTCTTTCAAGGAACAAGTGGAAACTTTGAGGTCATTTATGAGGCACTTGAGCTTTGACTCTGAAGCTCTGAGCTCGTCTCTTTTTTTTTTTTTACCAGTTTGTCTAGCGAAAGTAGGATTAACCAACCAGCTTCCTTATAGTTCTCATTATGACAAAACTGTAAAAAGGTATCATATATGCAATCGCTCAGAGTCTCATCTTTCACCAATACCTGATCTATTGGTAGTGATATTTTGTGTATTTCAATTGCCACCTCATGCCATGGATTAGCAGTGCCCTTTTTACTATTGGAAGCAGAGTCATCAAACATCTTTTAAGACTAACTAGACTTGAGAACCAATTTAGAAAATTCATCCTTACAATTTTGTTTCTCTAGAACCACTTTTGGTACCAAACGTCTTAGGCTGAATACTCTAGAGAAGTAAAACCAGTGAAGTGTATAAATCTATAGAGAGAGAGACAGAGATTTATATCAAGGAAATGGTTCACATGGTTGTAGAGGCTGTAACATCCCAAGTCTGTGGGTCAGGGAAGAGGCTTCTCCTGATTCACGTAGCTGCAGGGGCTGGTGAACCCAAGATTGGCAGGCCAGAGAGCAGGGCTGTTGCTCACAGGCTGTGAAAATCGATGAATCCCAAGATCAGCAGGCAAGACTGCAGGTAAGCTGCTAGCTCAAGTCCCAAGAACCGGAGGTCAGATGAACAGGAGCCAGCTGCAGGATCCAGAATGAGTAAAAGCCCTGGAGCCCCTGTCTGAACATCCACCCACACTCGATGCAGGCCACACACCCAAGGAAACTCCCATTCAACTGATTGGCTTCTCATAGCAGATCCCATCACGGGGGTGACCATGTATCATATCTCAACAGGGAAGTGATCACATCATACAACTGCCAAAACATTGAGAATCATGGCTCAGTCAAGTTGACAATCTTAACCACCACAGTTTCTTTATCTGTAAAAGTAAATTGTTTTCTAAACAATTTCATAATAAACCACTATTTGATTACTAAAATGATGTTTTTAAGGGTGTTGTCCACCTTACCTTTATGAAATTATGTCAGAATATCTCCACAGGACATACTTGATTAAAAAACATATGAACTCTAAATGTTTTTAAAATATCACTAATAGGAGGTTTCCAGAAACAGAAGAACTATATTTATCCATATATAGTATCTGGCCAAACTGTTACCAAGCAACCATTTGACAATCACACAGAGCTTTTCATTATAACAGTGACTTATAAATTTGAACTGACATGTTGAACCTAAAGAAGATGGCAGGCTATGCTCTTTTGGGAAAAATCAGAAAATATGTTTTGAACAACTAAATCTTTGTTTTATTTAACAGCTCTATTAAGAAATAATTCATAAACCATACAATTCATCCATTTAAAGTAGACAATTCAAAGGTTTTTAGCGTATTCAGAGTTGTGCAACCATCACCACAATCATCTGCCTGCTGCTTAACAGAATATCTAAATTGTAACAGTGATAAGAGCTGCATAGTCATCATACCCTCCTAGCTGCACGTCTCTTATTAGTTCACTTCCATATGAATGTGGGGTGTTTCTCTGTTCATCTAAGTCTTGGCTAGGCTTCTTAATTTTCATAAAAGGACATCACTTCTACCTTATGTCCAATTGAATTTTTTAAATACGTAAATTGGCTTTTAATTAGAAATTCAAAATACTTACTATACTCTATGCTCTTGTCAAAGTATAGATATTGACCTGTCTTTCACTAAAGGCCTAACTGAAAAATTTCAAAGGATGTATAAACTGTTTATTTCTCTAGAATTTCCACGATGACAAAGAGATCTTACACCCAACTCCAATTTTTAGCAGTCGTTTGAGGATATGAGGATATATCCACATTCTTCAAGAAAGAATGCCATTATTGATTAGTGATAGGAGTAGGCAGACATGCTCACACATCTGATGTCTTTGCATCTTGATTTTAACCCTGGATCCAACAAAGTTCGTCAGAGCTGTGTGCTTCTACTGCTTTGATTTGCCCCCCATATTGTCACTTTTACTGAATTAAACTTTGGTTCTTCGGCCCTAGGTTGCATGAATGAATACCTCAAGAAACATCTACACAAAAACCACTATTTGATTACTAAAATGATGTTTTTAAGGGTGTTGTCCACCTTACCTTTATGAAGACCCAAAAGAGAAATTTCTCTCAGGCCTAAAAGCCAAAAAATGCCTTACTCTTCCTGAACATCTGGTTTTCATTTCTCTTATGCATAATGTGACTCTTACAGCCTTTTCCTTTTTTGCTTTGGACATAAGGAATCTCAGTGTTGAATGTGACGCCTGCCTAGAATCTTCCTTTTTTTTTGGTACTTTAGTGCCATATAACTATCCCATCTTTTTTTATTCACCTTGCCTTTTTATTCTATTTATTTTTAAACTTCTGGTGTTCATTTTACGTTCCTTTTTGGATTGTAAGTAAGTAAATGAAAGTTGTAAGTAAATGAAGGGACAGATAGGAGGTATGTAGGTAGCTGAATAGCTAGACAGAAAGATACATAGCTATTGGCAAAATATAAATATGTTGCTAATTAAGACATGATTCATAACAGATTTGAAGAGGTCAAATTTTAAAACAAATTTTAGGTTTCACATTTATTTTTATAGAGCTATCAAGGCCATTGGAGCCCCGGTGGCACAGTGGTTAAGAGCTCAGATGCTAACAAAAAGGTCAGCAGTTTGAATCCACCAGCTTCTCCTTAGAAACCCTATGGGGCAGTTCTACTCTGTCCTATACGGTGGCTAAGAGTTGGAATCGACTCAATGGCAACAAGTAATATTTCTTATTACCCTTCCTTTTACCATTTGCTACTTACCCTCCCCATTTTATTTTTGATCTATCTTCTCCAACCTAGTGATTTCAGAAATAGATTTCACAGATGGAAGACAGATGACAGCGGAAAAGAGACTTTGCCTAATACCCCCAAGGAAAAAAAAAAATCTGAATACAGTGCATAGGAAAAAAATATACTGAACCATTAAGGGGGGAAATACTCTTGTGTTTGGTTTCATCGAGAACTAAGAAAAAAATCAACCTGTACCCCCTTTTGGTAATAAGGTTCACTGAGAGTACCTGGTCTCTGGTGTGGAAGTAGTAAACTCTTCTAAGACCCCAAGGTAGCATTTAGCATCCTGTGGGCTCATGCACACCATGTGCTGAGCACAGAGCCATGTTTTAGGGGATAGCATTATAAAGTGGCCCCACTGTGGTGCTGACTGATTCACTCTGTGTTCAAGTTTCCAGTTATTTCATTTGATTACAGTTGGGTGTGTTTTACAAGACGGCTGCAGTTAGTCTAGGTTGTTAAAGAAACGTGCATTTCCATTACCAAAGTAGGTATCAAATCCTCGGCGGGTTGGAAGGCATTCTTTCCGGTACATTCCCAGGTGCCATTTTCCGACCATGTGGGTAGTATAGCCTGCTTCTTTTAGAAGCTGGGGCAGGAGTTTTTCATCCAGGGGAACACAGCTGGGCTGACAGGGCCAGATTATTTGGTGCTGTAAACCTGTATGGATCTTAAAGACAGAAACATAAAATTATGGATTAATGGTGTTGAAACATTCTGACTAAGCCAGCAATGTAGCCACCTAATTTACTGGACATATTGTAGACTTGCATGTTCAACTCTATTCCTGTACTGGCTTAACGATATTTCTGAAAGGCGGTTTACTCACTTAATCAAATGAGGTAATGGGCATAAACAAGATCTGAAAAATAAATAAAAGCATTGTAACAAATACTTCAACAAATAATTATCAAAGCATTATGTTAGAAACCATTAACTTTTCACTTCTATCTCAAAAAAGTAGCAGTAATATGAGGTGTGGATTTATCATGAAAAAAGTGTCCCAACTCCTGTGTACACTAGAAGTTGGCATTTGATTAGAAGCAGCTACTGTCATTGTTAAAGATTTGGTGATTGTTTTAAGGGTTATTTAATAGTCTAATAAAACTGATGACTCACATTTCTTATCATACTTTATACAAATAAGCCATAATCTCAAAAACAATGACCGACTTTTTTCTAAACTACCCTCCCCTCCAAAAAACCAACAACAAAAACTAAAAACAAAACTAAAATTCCAAGGGGGAAAACTCTTCTGTCTGTGGTTAAATAAAACCAAAGCATCCATACAACCACTTGTTGAGTCTTACTGTAGTATTAAAATAGAATATGCACAAGTATATGAAAAAGCTATTAAAATATCTGTTTTCCAATTACATATCTTTGTGAAGCCAGATTTTCGTTATAAACTTCAATCGAAACGATATATCCCAACATTGAATGCAAAAGCATATGTATCAATCTAGCTTCTATCAATAAAAGACTTGCAAAAACATAAAACAATGTCACTCTTCTCACTTAATTTATTTTTGAAAATAGTTATTTTTCATATGCTATTTATATTAATATGTAATGAGTTTATTATTGCTGTTTTTCAATGAATAAAAAATATTTTTAAATTTATCAATTTTAACTTCTAATATGGTAAATATTGATAGGTATAATCCACAAAAGCATAAAGTCTTTAGGGTCCTGAATAATTAAGTGTATACAGAGGTCCTAAGCCAAAAAGTTTGAGAACTGGTGATATAATGCCAGAGAGTGATAACTTCTAAGAAGAATAGTAAAGTAGGGGAAGGAAACAGTGACAGAGATGATATTTTAAGTAGTGTAGCAAGAGACAACCTCTCTGAGGAGGAGATATCTGAGCAGCAACCTAAATAAAGCGAGAGTTGTTGTTAGGTGGCATAGAGTCGGTTCCGATTCAACTCTACGACCCTGTGTACAACTGAACGGTGCCTGGTCCTGCACCATCCTCACGATTGCTGTTATCCTTGAGGCGGTGAGCAATCTAGGCACAAAGAATAAAAAGTGCAAAGGCCCTGAGACCTGAACATGCTCGGCAAGTTTGAAGGCCAGCTTGGAACCAGTGTGGTCCTTGTCACAAGCTTTGTGCTAATGGATGCCACTGAACTCCCTGCTGGTGCACAATGGTGCTCTCTCTCCATCTTGCGTTAGACCAGGGGGACTCCCTCCCTGCTTGCCTAGCCCTTCCTTCCTTAAAACTTGGCACCCTTCTGCCCTTGTCCTTGCTTAGCCAACGAAGTGCTCTTCTTCCTTTGAAGTGGGGCTAGGGAATTGCATTCAACTGTGGGCTGGACTGCACTGCTGATCTCCCTAGCATAAATCAGGCTCTGGGAACATTGAAGGCTGAGAGTGCCAGTTTTCAACCTAAGCCACAACTCTCTGGTGCCTCCATAAGCTGTGAGGTGGGATGCAAGCAACTTGTTACTAATAATGGTGAAAATACGTTTTCAAATGATTTACTTGCTTTATCATTTAAACAGATTCCCTGGGTGGTGCAAATAGTTAATGTGCTCAGCAACTACCCAAAATGTTATAGGTTTGAGCCTACCCAGAGATGCCTCAGAATAAAAGCCTGGCAATCTATGTCTGAAAAATCAGCTGCTGAAAACCCTATGGAGCACAGTTCTACGCTAACACACATGGGGTCGCCATGAGGTGGAATTGATGTGACTTCAATGGGTGGTACTGGTATAATTTAAAGCAGAATAGCATAAAGCTCAGGGAATTAAATCCCAGCTCTATCACTTATTAGCTTCATAACTTTGGACAATAACTTAAGTAACTTAGGTTCAAGCTCATCATCTGTAAAAGAATAATAATAATATCCCCTCCCAGGGTTTTTTGGAGGATTAATGAGGTAAAACACCAAGTACATACTAAGTACACAGCAATTGCCATGGTAATAAGCAGTTTAATATGCTTTCTTGAGCAAGAACAGGGTGGTATTACAGACAGCATGCACCTAAGCCTGGGCCTGCCCCCAGGAGTGTGCTGTAGAGCATACAAACATCATAGAAACTGTAAACTGGAACAACCAATCTATAGCTCTGCTAAATAGATAAGATACCTGCCATTGAGTCAACTCTGACTCATGGCAACCTTATGTACAACAGAATGAAATGTTGCCTGGTCTCGTGTCATCCTCATGATCACCAGCATGTGCAAGTCCATCATTGTGGCTACTGTGCCAATTCGTCTCACCAAGGATTTCCCTCACCCTCGTTGGCCCTCTACTTTACCAAGCATGATGTCCTCTCCTAGAAATTGATCCCTTCCAATGACCTGTCCAAAGAAAGCAAGCTGGACAATGTTCTGTTACGTTAAAACAAAAACCAAATCTGTTGCCACTGAGTCAATTTAGACTCTTAGCGACCTTATAGGACAGAGCAGAATTGCCCCATAGAGCTTCCAAGTAGCGGCTAGTGGATTTGAACTGCCAAACTTTTGGTTAGTAGCCACGCTCTTAACCACTGTGACGCCAGGGCTCCACATATGGTTTTTATTGGCTAATTTTTGGAAGTAGATTATCAGGCCTTTCTTCTAGTCTGTCTTAGTCTGGAAGTTCCACTGAAACCTGTGCACTATAGGTGACCCTGCTGGTATTTGAAATATTGGTGGCATAGTTTCCAGCATCACATCACCATGCAAGCCACCACAGTACGACAAACTAACAGACAAGTGTTGGATAATTCTGCTAGTACTGACCAAATATATTATTTACCACCAATTTTCTCAGATTCTGATATTGAAGACAAGACAAATACACAGATTTTTTTGGTTTTATTTTTTAATATTTGGCAATAAACAAAGTAGAGACAAAATTTTTTTTTTACAATCACATTTTTTTTTTCTAATTTATCATAAGCTACTACTGAAAGGTTGGCAGTTCAAACTCAGCCAGCAGCTCTGCGGGAGAAAGACCTCGCAATCTGCTTCTGTAAAGATTACAGCCTAGAAAACCCTGTGGGGCAGTTCTACTCTGTCACATGGGGTGGCTAGGAGTTGGAAACAATTTGACTGCATCTAACAACAATTATTAAATAGCTTTCTCATAAGTTTTAACATTGTCTTGAATTTTATTTTTTGTGAGTGTCTTTCCAGATCCAGCACTTTTAGAATTGCACCTGCTATGCTTGATTTCATATCTTTCCACATTCCTCCTTAAAGGACCATATGGAATATCTTAAATGTTAAACTAAAGTGAGTTTATTTGAGGGTAATGGATAAGTCTGCTATCTTGACTGTGGTGATAGCTTCACGAGTGGAGACATATGTCAAAATTTATCAAATTGTATACTTTAAATTTGTGCACTTTATTATATGGCAAGTATACCTCAATATAGCTGTTTTAAAAATTAAAGTGAGTTTAAGTTTTCTATTGAGATATTTATGCTTCTCCTAGAAATAACTAGACACACACATCGGGATAAATGCTAGATGCCTTCCAAATCCACTCTCTGCCTTCTCTGTCCTGCTGTCTACACTGGGAGGCTGACCTGTGTAGACCAAATCAAAGGGTGATTGGATTCAGCCAATGGGGAGCCCAGGCAGGAGATCAGAGAGAGGAAAGAGAGTGACTGGCCTCAGCCTGGCTATGTCTCTCTAGTGAGGGTCACTCCGAGGACAGCCTTCTCTACATGACTTTCTCATTCTAGGTTCTTTCTAGTCACTGCCCCTTCTTTTTCTCCCTTCTGGTCTAGGGGTAGTTACAGTTCCACTGGGTTACTGGACCAAGAAGCTTCACCCACACATTCATACCTCTTAAAATAGTCTCTTTGTAAATAAACCCTCCCTAAATTATCCTAATTCGAACGTGCCATCTGTTTACAGCTGGGACCTTGAATGATACAGAATGTTATGATGTCCAGGCACGGAAACATTGCTCTCAATCAAGAAATATATATATATATACACACCTGCCTCCCTAAAATCAAAGAACGGTTCTTTCTGTGGTTAACACTAGAAGGTGACACAACAGAAAATTGATCCTAGGCTCAAAAACTTCATAACATATACTAATTGGCAAGAGAGCAAGATGAGTAAAGATAAAGATAATATTTTTGCAGAATCCAGAAAACCCAGTGGAGATAAATGCTATGCACAATTTTTTTTTTTAATGGAAAGCTCATCCATTATGCGCAAAGAATTAACTCTGATTGCTAGAAAGCACTGCCAAGGGAAAGGATGCTCCGTGATTTGGTTTTCCTCAGCCATGGGCACCAAGCCAGGTGGTCAGCTGAAGTCTGCCTCCATGATCTGCAATCGTATGGAGCAGGAAAATTAGTCCTTTGCAGTTACTGAGAATTTATTTGACAGAGTATTTTTATGATATTCTTGGGGAAGCGGAAGCTAAACTCTGGGAGACCGCCAAAAACGTGCTTTTGGTCTGCTCTAACACTGACTGAAGTAAGGAAGCTGTAATGTATAGAGAAGCAGTAAACAGGTAAATGCCAAGCTGGTTCCAACCCAGCACTCTAGTTTAACACAGAGCTATAGAGCCACAGCATGTTTCACGGAGCAGAAAAATACACCTAAACAGGGCACCAACAGGAATCAAAAGAAAAAAATAAGAATGAGGAGTTTCAACCACAAAGTCCCTTTGTAAGTACAACAGATGCAAAAACAATTCCATTTTAACATATA